GGGGGGGGGGGGGGGGGGGGGGGCGTTTGCCCAGAGCGGGCCAGGTCATGGCCTTGTGTAGCAGCATACCTCTGAGATGTCTTTACCCCAGGAGGAGATTCTGGGGGACCAGGACCCAGAGTAGGTTCTTACGGGAGCCGGACGCCTGGTCGGTGGGGCTGCACCTTTTGCGTGTAAACCAGGTGTATGTGGCTTCAGGTGTCCGAGCTAGCAGAGAGAAGTCTCCCTTCGTTGCCGCTCATCCTGTCTGAAATGAACCTGGGCCACCGGAGGGGAGGGGATCTTTGTTGAGCATGTGCTCCCAAGTGGGGGGAGGGGATCTTTGTTGAGCGCGTGCTCCCAAGGGGGGGGGGATCTTTGTTGAGCGTGTGCTCCCAAGGCTGTGTAGGAGCAGGCAGTTTGGATAGGACAAGACTTTTGCCTTTTGAGCCAACTTTTGGACCCAACTCAGAACGAGATGTGATACTACAGTAACATCACAGGGGAGAGAAATGGGGAAGCCAAACGAGCTCCCAGATCCAGTGGCTGGGGGCCCCCAGAACAGGGTCAGAGCTCAAAGGAAGGTCCTCTCATTGTCTGTCAGTAGGTGGCAGCCTTGGACCGGGATGCTGAAAAGACTTGCAAGCCGTGGACGGGAGGTGGGGTGTCTAATAAAGGAGCTTGTGTGCCAGCTCCTAAAGGGCCGTGTCTGTGGCTGTTGACTCTGCGCCCTCTGGCCCTGGACCCGCGCTCAGGGCCTGGGGAGGGAGGGGCAGAGAGCAAGCCGGAGTGGGTGGCGTGGAGGCAGCCCTGCGCCCTGGGCAGGCTGGGTCCAGTCTCCCCGACTCCCCCGGGGCTGCCCACGGGCGTCCAGGACCCAGGCGGCCCCTGCTGTCCCGCAGGACGTGTTTGAGATGCGGTTTGCCAAGATGCCGGACGAGCCGGTGGAGGCGCCCACGCTGCCCGTGCCCGTGGCCCCTGTGGTCAGCAAGGGCGTGGAGAGCAGCCGCAGCAGCGAGGAGAGCTCCACGGACTCAGGCAGCTCGGACTCGGAGGAGGAGCGGGCCACGCGGCTGGCGGAGCTGCAGGAGCAGGTGAGTGGCCGGGCCGGGGACCGCGGGGGCCCAGTCCCGGCCAGGCCTTGATCCGACGTTTGCCCTGGTCACCCCCCACCCCCACCCCAAGCCACAGCCGTCCTCCACGGCGGTGTCGCTGGCAGGGCACCCAGCGAAGGTGTCGGTTCCGAGGGCCCCCTCGGCAGTGCCTGCAGGCCCGGGGCCCTGTGAGCCCGACCGGGTCGGGACGTCCCTGGAGCCCTGGAGCCTCCTTCCGCTCCAGAAAGGTCTGGGAGGCACCTGCGGAAGCCGCAGCCGTGGGGCTCCACGAGCCTGTCTGGCTGGGGGCGGGCACGGGCTCCGCAGCTCTGCCAGAGCAAGGTTGTCCTGCCTCGGCCTCTGACCACCTGTGAGTCGGCCCTCCCCACCGCTTCGCGCGCCTCACGTGCAAAATGGGACCAAGAGGTGCTGGATTCCTGGGGGGTGGGGGGCCTCCAGCAGGGAGGAGACAGTGGGGTAACAGTGACCCTGCCGGCACCCCTGTGGGGCTGGGCATCTGAGCTGAGCCTTGTCGGGGATGACGGTGCAGGGAGCATGGCCCTGAGGTGTAGCTGTCGGGCCGGGGTCCCTCCCACGCCACGTGACGCGGCTGGCATGTGCGAGCCTGGTGCCGTCTTGGCCTGTCCACCTGCTAGAGGCTGGGGGCTCCGTTTCCTCGCCCGTCTGGCGTGAGCCTCCCCTTGGGGTCTGCTGAGGTGAGAAGCGTGTAGAGCACGTAGCACACTGGCAGCCACTTGCCGGACGAGATGAGTGTCCCCTGCCGGCACTGGACCGTTTTGACCCTGCAGAACTGCCGTGTAACATCCCAGCAGCTGCCCACGAGTGGAAAGTCTCCTCTGTGCAGGCGTTTAAACCTCGCCCTAGAGAGTCTCCCTCATCTGGAAAACAGAAACTAGCAGGAAAACCAGGAGGCACCATTTATCGAGCCCTTCGGGTGCCACCTGCCCTGCACTTCAGGCGGGGAGACTGATGCCCAGCAGCTCGCCCGCCGTCGCAGGGGCGGGGAGGGCCAGACGGGCTCTGCCGCCCTCCGGGACCTGTCTGGCTCCCCGGCTCCCCTCCCCGCACGGTGGCGGCAGCTCCTGGGCACCCCAGCCCCCCGCCCGCGGCCCCCTTGGGCCAGCCCTGGGGAGCCCCGCTCAGCTGCCTGTCTCTTCCAGCTGAAGGCCGTGCACGAGCAGCTGGCCGCCCTGTCTCAGGCCCCAGTGAACAAGCCAAAGAGGAAGAAGGAGAAGAAGGAAAAGAAGAAGAAGGACAAGGACAAGGAGAGGCACAAGGCCAAGTCCGAGGAGGACAAGAAGGCCAAGGCGGCCCCGCCCGCCAAGCAGGCCCAGCAGAAGAAGGCTCCCGCCAAGAAGGCCAACAGCGCGACTGTGGCTGGCAGGTGGGCGCCGGCGCCCCGTGTCCTGGACACCCATGTGGCGGGAGGATGCTGGATTCGGGGCTCTGTTCTGGTGACCTGGACCCTGGGCTGTTACGGGGAGATGGGGGCGGGGGTTGGTGGCCCTCGTCTTGCCCGCCTCGTGGGAAGACTGGGAGGACCAAACGAGATCTCTGCCTCGACAGCATGGGCTCCGGAGGGCGGCGCTCAGCTCCCCGTGGGGCCAGCCTCAGTCACAGGCATGGGAGATCTCAGCATCTAGAGGCTTCGGGGACATTTTCCTGGTCTGGGCCCGGGAGTTTGCTTTGGGGGGTCTTGGCGCCGTGTCCTGGGCCCTTGGCACCCCATCCCCGCGTGGCCTGGTCGGTGGAGGGTCGGGGGTGGAGGTGCACCTTGGCGCAGAGCTCCCTGGTCCCCACGGCCTTCACTCAGCCCCTGCCGTGGCCACGCACTGCCCCGAGGACTGCTTGCCGCACATGAGCAGGGACGACATGGGGAGGTGAGGGTGGTGGGAAGGCACGCCGGGCCGGGCGCCTCTCCCGGCGGGGTGGAAGGAGGGCGTCCTGGAGGAGGGGCGACGGCTGCACAGAGGGTCCGGATGGGGTTCCAAGAGTCAGGAACAGCGGGCACAGAGCTGTAGAGGCCAGTGGAATGTGTTCCTCGTGGGAATGAGGATAAGGGTGGGCACTGCTGAAGAACAGAGGCCAGGTTGGGAAGAGGGGAGGGTTTAGGCTGCCGAGGCTGGCCGGCTCGGTTGAGGTGTTTGCAGTTCGTTCTCCAGTGAAAGTGGTCAGATCCTGGCCAGTGTGGAGGATGGATTAGCGAGAGGCAAGAATGGGAGGAAGGATGCCCTCTGGAGTTGCCGCGGTCACGCAGGCAGGAGAGGCCGGTGTGGCCACGGGGGTGGAGCTGTGTTGCTTTGAGAACTCTCTGTGAGGCAGAGTGGACAGGCCTTGGTCCCTGGACGTAGGAGGAGGGGTATGCAGAGCTGGGGACTTGGGCTTTGGTAGCTGGGCGGGCAGTGGCACCATCGAGAGCGGCAGCGAGAACGGTCAGGGGTTTTCTCCCCCCTTTTGCAGGGGGAGGCAGAAATCAGGTTCCCTGTTCTGTCTCTGTCTCTGGTTTTGGTGTCTGTACAATGCTGGCCTCAAAAAGGAGTTGGGAAGTGTTCCCTTGTCTTCTGTTTTCTGGGGTAGATTTATAGCCTTGGTATATTAATTCTTAAATGTGTGATAGAATTCACCAGTGAAACCATCTGGGCCCGGAGTTTCACTGTTGGAAGGTTGTTAACCACGAATTCAGTCCCTTTGAACGTTCCCCACAAATTTGATATATTGTGATTTCATTTAAGTTCAAAATAATTTGTAATTCCCTTCAGGCGTCTTTTTTGACCATGGATTATTCAGAAGTGTGTTGTTTGGTTTACAGATACTTGGAGATTTTTCCAGATATTTTTCAGTTACTGATTTCTAGGGTCAGAGAGCACACTTTATATATTTTCAACATTTTAAAGTTTGTTAGGATTTTATGGCCCAGAATACGGTGTGTCTTGGTGAATGTGCCATGTACGCTTGAGAAGAACGTGCATCCTCCTCCTGTTGGGTGGAGTGTTGTATAAACATCAGTTAGAAGATTAAAAAAAAAATCTTAAAAAAAAAAAGATACAAATGAACTTATTTACAAAACAGAAACAGACTCACAGACTTAGAGAACAAAGTTATGGTTACCAAGCGAGATGGGGGTGGGGGGGGGGGTAGGGGTGGGGGTGGGGGGGAGGGATAGACTGGGAGTTTGGGGTTGACATGGACACACTGCTACGTTTAAAACAGATAACCAGCAAGGATCTCCAGTAGAGCATGGGGAACTCTGCTTAATATTCTGTAATAACCTAAATAGGAAAATAATTTGAAAAAGAATAGATACATGTATATATATAAAAAAAAAAAAAACTTTAAACCCCAAACAGACAAAAACATGTCAGTTAATAAGTTAATTTGGTTGATGGTGGTGTTGGGATCGTCTCTGTTCTGCTGATTTGTTCTATTAATTACCGAGAGAGAATTGTTGAATTCTGCAAGTGAAGTTGCAGGTTTTCCTATTTCCCTTCAGTTCCATCAGCTTTTGTTTATATATTTTGAAGCTTGGTTTTATATGCACACACGTGTAGGACTGTGATGGTCAGTCGACTCTTTTATCATTATACAGTGTCCCTCTTTTTTCCTAGTAGCATTCCTTTTTCTGAAGTCTACTTTGTCTGAAATTGTTACAGCCGTTGCCGTTTTCTTTTGATTAGTATTTACATGGAATATTTTCCCCCCATCCTTTTACTTTTAACCTACCTCTGTCGTTATATTTCAAGGGGGGTTGTGTAGATTAGATAGCATATAAATTGGGTCTTGGTTCTTACCCAGTCTGAGCACCCCTTTCTTTTAATTGGTGTGTTTAGACCATTTATATTTAATGTAATTGTGGATACAATTTGGTTTCCACCTACCATTCCCTTATTTTCTGTCTGTCCCTGCTGTTTACTCCTCTGTCCCCCTTCCTGCCTTCTTCTGGGTTACTTGAATACGGAGATGAGTTTGACCTGTCCTGCTTAAGATGCCCATGGGGCACTGAGGGGAGCTGACCACCACGGTTGTTTCCTGGCCAAGGCCTCCCTAGGCCGGTAGCAGCCTCTGCTCTGACCTCTGGAGCAGGGTCTTCCGTGTCCCTGGAGATGTATGTGTGTCTCCAGGCAGTCGCCCGGCTTCTCTGTCTGGGGGTTGGGCTGCTCCTTGGTAAGAGAGCCTGGTCCTGGAGAGGAAGAGGGCCGGCGGGCAAGGGGTTGGGGTCTGGGGCGGGGGCAGTGGGGGGAACTTGGGGTTGTGGGGCAGGGGCTGGGCGGGGTAGGGGGCTCCAGGGATGGGGACGGGGGGCTCCACGCCATGATGCTCCTTGCCTTCTGCCTCAGACAGCCGAAGAAGGGCGGCAAGCAGGCGTCGGCCTCCTATGACTCGGAGGAGGAGGAAGAGGGGCTGCCCATGAGCTACGATGAGAAGCGCCAGCTCAGCCTGGACATCAACCGGCTACCGGGGGAGAAGCTGGGCCGGGTGGTGCACATCATCCAGTCGCGGGAGCCCTCGCTCAGGGACTCCAACCCCGACGAGATAGAGATTGACTTTGAGACTCTAAAACCCACCACTTTGCGGGAACTAGAGAGATACGTCAAGTCTTGTTTACAGAAAAAGCAAAGGAAGCCATTCTGTAAGTCGTCAGGACAGGGTGCCTTGCTGCCGCCCCTGCCCATCACCCCCTTCGGTGCCAGAGCAGACAGCCAGGCAGCCCCGGGGGTGGGAGTGGGAGTGGGTCGCACGCTGCCAGGCTCCTCGCCCCTCTTCTGCCTTGTGCCCTGAGGATGCAGGGACACAGCTTCTGTCCGCTCAGCTGGGGCCGGGGCTTGGCTGAGACCAGCTGCGGCCCCACCCCAGCCGGAGCCCTTCTTCCCCTGCTCCCGGGCAGGTGGGCAGCACTTGTGTGCCTCATCCTTCCCCAGAGCAGGCAGGACCCCTGGATCGGTCCCCAGCCCCATTCGTTCAAATGCTGGCTAAGGCCCTCACCACAAGCCTTCTTGAGGCTCCGTTTGGGGCCTGGGCTGCAGGCGACCTGTCGATGGTTCCCTGCCTGGGCAGACCAGTTCCCTTTGCCTGGGGTGGAGGTCCAGAGGCCTCCCAGGACGGACGATTGCACTGGCTCAGGCTCACCCTGGAAGTCGATGACTTCACTGGACGGGAACGAGTCGCTGCCTGGGTTGTTGGGTCCTGGGGAGTGAGAGGAAGGGCAGGAGGCCCCAGGCCGCCCCACGGTGGCAGGAGAACAGGGCAGCCGCCCGGCCCTGAGGAACAGCACCCAGGGTGCACCTGCTGCTGTGCATGGCCCCCTCGGGCTGTGTGGTCCTCACTCGCTCTGAGGGGGGAAACTGCCTTCTCCTGGATGGAGCATGGCGTGACCCCTGCAGTCACGGCACGTTTGCCCCTCGGTAAGTCGCCTGTGGACTCAGAGGTGCTGGCGCAGGCACGCCAGGAGGTGGAGTTGGCTCGAGGGCGGAGTCTGGGCCTCACTGAGGCCGAGGGAGAGCCTCGGCCGTGGCGAAGGAAAACCATGAGTTGGGGGGTCAGGGCCTCAAGCCGCAGTTCTGCCCCTCACCCGGGGGCGCCGCCGTCTGTGCAGCTGTCTGCAGTGGGGGTGGTCTGTCCCAGCTCAGGAGTTTTGTGGCGGTTGCAGAGCCTCGCGTGTGGCGGGGCCTCTGTACATGTGGGCTGCCCCTGGGGCCGCCCGCCCTTCCCCGCCTGTGGCCTCAGCTCCCGTGCTCTTCCACAGCCACGAGCGGGAAGAAGCAGGCGGCCAAGTCGAAGGAGGAGTTGGCTCAGGAGAAGAAGAAGGAGCTCGAGAGGCGGCTGCAGGATGTCAGCGGGCAGCTGGGCAACAGCAAGAAGCCTGCCAAGAGAGGTACCCGTGGCCCTGGCGCTGCTCCGCCCGGGGGCAGAGGGCAGTGGGAGGGAGCGGGCAGCTGACCTGGGTCTGCGCCTGTGGCTCCACCTCGTAACGAGCTGCGTTTCCCTGGAGGAGGCTCTTGACCCCCCGAAACCCTGATTTCCTTATCTGCAAACTGGGACCAGAGCCCAGCCCTGCAGGGAGGCTGAGCACATGACAGGCGTGTGTGAAAGCGCCGCTTTGCAGAGCCCCTGGGAGACGGCCCTTTGGAAGGGCGCAGCTGTGGTCTTGGGGGGCTGGACCCCATGACTTGGGAGGGACTGAGGTCCTACCCTGCAGCTTCAGTGGGTCCTGGCCCCCAGCAGTGGGCTTTCTGGCTGCTCTCAGACAGGAACACTAGTTCCCAGCCAGTTAGCCAGTATCACAGGTGGAGGGGGAGGGTCTGACTTCCAGCCCCAGGCCCTCAGCTCTGTGGACTCGGGGTCTTATTTTAGGCGAGCAGGTGATTTGATTCCTTGCCTCCTTTCCCCGGGGCCTGTAAGAAAAGGCAAATACCTTTGTCCTGGCCCCAGGGACAGTGGGGCCCAGGTGGCGGTCAGATTCTAGGTCCAGTCTTGGTCATGCAGTGGCCAGGTGCCACACCCTTGCCTCGCCCCCTTGCCCAGTGCCAAGCTGGGGCTCAGAGCCCTGCTCGCTCCCACTGATGGCTGAGAGGCCCCCCTTGCGTTAGCCCTGGGGAGGGCGTGGTTACTGCTCAGAGCGTGTGACTGTGGATCCTTCATGTGGCCGGCCACGTCCCCGCACGTCCCATCAGTTTCTCGTAGTAGATTGCCTTTTCTCCCAGCCTCTAAGTGTATTTAGATGTGTTGATCTCTGAGCTGTTTCTGCTCACACTTCCGACACCAAACGTGTGAGTTTTTCTCACGCCAGTTCTCCAGCTCCCACACGAGCAGGGTGTCCAGCAGTTGAGCTTCGTGCTGATGCTGTCTGCTCGGTTAAGGGCTCAGCGCCCTCCCCCCCTCCCCAAGACGCCAGGTGCACGTCCCAAGCCTCCCGTGCCTTTGACTGACGGGCTGTAAATCGGGGATTCCCACAACCCCCTCCTCAGGTTTGAAAATTGGCTAGGACGGCTCACAGAACTCAGGAATTATGAGTGAAACCCCTTGTGGTTTGTTATAAAGGACACAACTCAGGGACAGCCAGGTGGACGAGCGGCACAGGGCAGGGTGTGGGGGCATGGAGTCTCCAGGCCTGTCCAGCCACCACCCTCCCAGCAGCTGGAGGCCCCCTGAACCGGGGGTTCTCTCTGGAGCACAGTCTCCAGTCCCCGCCCCTCCTCGGCCATGGGGGCGGGGGGGGGGGGGCGGGGGAGCTGAAAGTCCCCGCCCCCGGTCCCATGGTCTTCCTGGTGAGCAGCCCTGGGCTGTGTGGGGCCCCCTGCCCCGAGTCACTCGTGAGCGTAAACTCAGGTGGGAGCTAAAGGGGCTCCTTAGCAGTAAAAGATGTTCTTGCCACTAGGGAGATTGCCGGGGATTTAGGAGCTCTGTGCCGGGAACAGGGTACGAGCACCAGACGCATTTCTTACACCATCACAACCTCGTTAACGCGTTGCTGCATTTCAACAAAATCTCTTAACGTTTATCACGTGACCGGGTCAGGATCCGGGTGGGTCGGGGCATGTGGGGGGGGGGGCGGGGGAGGCACGGACGGGCTCACGAGGAGGGAGGGGCGGCCGGCGCGTGGGGGGCGCACCCCTCACCCGCGCGTCTCCTCCAGAGAAGTCAGGCTCCGCGCCCTCGGGAGGGCCCTCCCGGCTCAGCAGCAGCAGCTCGTCTGAGTCCGGGAGCAGCAGCTCCAGCGGATCCAGCTCCGACAGCAGCGACTCGGAATAAACTCTGGGCTCTCACGGGACGGAACAAAACCAGTGGACGTCGCCCACGCCGAAACTCTGCAGTGTTCCCTTCTATGGTTAATATACTATTTTCGTTCCATGGTGTGCAGGTTCTCTTTTTAATTCAGTGTTATGGTATCTTCCAGTTTTGGCTTTAATAGGTCAAAGATCTTTCCGTGTGTGTCCATTAGACTTTATGAGAAGCTGTGAATCTGCATAACGCCTATCCTTCGTAACTGAATTCAGTCTCTTGGAGATGACAACTTCAAACGCTAACCTGATGACCGTAGAAAAACACGTAAGGTGTGATCCGGAGGTTCATGCAAAATCCCTTTTCTTACGCCCGACCCGGTCTGTAGCTCCAGCGAGAATTTCTCCAAAGGAGATGTCTCGGAAATGGTACCGTATGTGAAAGCTGCCAGCTTTGCGAACAGGCGTTTGTCTTTGTCTTTGGGGGCCTGGGCTCTGACCCGCACGTCCGAGGGGTCACCTCTTTCTGCAGGGGCTGAGGACAGCCGTGCCTGCCCCTGCCGTGAGGGCCAGGGCTGGGCCCAAGCGGGGAGGGGTCATCGTCTCTGCAGCCAGAGCTCCCGCGGGTGGCGGACCGGCGAGGGTGGGCGTGGAAGGGAGCCGAATTTTTCTGATCTCTGTGACGTCGGGAGCTCCCGGGAGGGAACACGGTGGCTGCGTGTGCAATGCGCGGGTTCCCAAACACTGAAACTTTTACCTCAACTTAAAAAAAAGAAAAAAAAAGAAAAAAAAAAGAAGAAAAGATTAAAAAATAAAAAAATACAGGAGGAGACTTTTTTGTAAGGTTCAGCAGTTTTCTACAAAAGGCCAGCCCCCACGTGTGTCCCCAGCCCAGCCGCTGCCACGCACTCCGGAACCATTGTCCCAGTTTCATGTATATATGAATACTTTATTTATTAAGATCATTGGTCATTTTTTTTTTAAAAAAAAAAAAAAAAGGAAAGAAAAACAAAACTAAAAAAAAAAAAAATTTAAAAAAAAAAAAAAAGTGGCAGAGACGCAGGCCTTTTAAATGGTTTGAAGGGGAGCCCCAGACCCTGCTGGCCAGCGGGCCTCTCACCTCCAGGTGCTACAGCCTGCTGTCCCCGTGCCGGTGCTCAGTCACGTCTGTGTGCGCTTGCCCTCCTCTCGGGGCTGCTGGGGTTTTTGTTCTTGTTCTTTTTCGTGTGTGTATGAAATTTGGACACTTACAGGCGTAGACGACTTCCAGCTGCAGCACGTTCTGGGCTTTTATTTCGTTTGTTTAGTTCTTTTGTATCCACGTCTGGTCTCTCTTAGGACTGTTTTAAAAGACTTCAATTTAGGGAACCCCAGTTATATAATATAAACTTTGTAATCTGAGAGAAGAAAAATGTATAGTAAATCTAAGTCTTGATTTTTAACTTTCTATTGTAAAAAAATAATAATAATAATATACAGAGTTTAACAGAAGGTTATGTTTTGGTTTTGTTTTCTCCAGAGGCTGCCATACGGCCTTTGAGTGCAGGGATGCCCCATCCACACTGCCTACCTACGCTCTGACCATTGTGGCTTTGGCCAGGAATGCAAGGGCCCCCGGATGGGGCACCCCTCACCCCCCCCACCTCCAGGAGAGGGGCGCGGCCCCCGCTGCCCCACGCGGTCTTCCAGCCGCCAGCAGTGGCGGCACGGGGCTCCCTGCTCACGCATTTTCCAGTTAGCACAGAAGTGACCGCAATAGTCTCTCTCCCCGTGAGACTTTACTGACGGGGGTGCTGGGGGTGGCCTGGCCTCTTGTCTGGTGGCGAGTTCTTTCTGCCAGCACTTCTGGATGGATCGGGAGACTAGTCGTTGGTATCCTAACAGGCGGTGGTTTCTAAAATTCCTAAAGTCGACTTGGATCCCACTAACACTTATGGCTAGAGGATACCTCTGATGGGTATAGAACTCTGATGACGCGATGGATGGTGGGTTACCATTTTTCTGACTGCTGGTGATTCTGACCTTTGGGTGAGTTTTGAGCCAGTCTGTTCAAGTTTTTTCATTAAGTTTTGTTTGTAATAAAAATATAAATGAATTTTAGACTTGCCGTTTTTTAAAGCTGCCCTGTTTTTCAAAGGTGTTTTCTAAGCAGATCTTTAATGGAGTAAACAACCTATGGCTTGAAGGAATTACGACAGGATGGAAGGTCCTGAAGCGGGATCTCATGGGCAGAATGCAGCAGGCACGCATCTGAGTAACAAACAGACCCCAACTGGGGGGCCTGGAGGTGCTGGGGGCTCCCGTGGGGCGCCCCTCCAGCCGCGAGCGAGCGGGGAGGGTCACCTGTGCCAGCCACTCAGCGGGGGACATCGGGCCCTAGAGCTGAGCACAGCGGGAGCATAGCATTTCCTTACCTGCTGGTTCCGTGTTGGGAGAGATGTGGAGTCTCAGCCACCTGTGCTCCTTTCCTCTGAAAGATCTGCTGGCTTAGACGCTGCCGGAGGGCTTAGTCCGTGCTGAGCGGTTGTAGTTCATTGGCTTTTTTAAGGCTTTCTGTCCAGACTTCAAAACTGATTTCAGAGTTTTGGGGGGACCCTCTCCACCCCCTCACCGCCCCCCCCCCCCAAGGTCAGCCTGTGGGTGTTCGCCATTTCCATTTCTCTGCGTTGGGCAAGCGGAGTTCCAGTGCCGAGAACCGGAGGGCAGCCTGTCGAGGCTTAGGGCCTGTGTTCGGTGGGTTGGCCTCGTGCAGGGCACAGAAATGGCTGTGAAACAGTCCTCGTGATCCCTGGGGGTCGAGGGGGCGGCTTGGGCTGTTAACTGAATTCCAGAGATGCTTGCTCACTCATCTTGCTTACAAACTGTTAAGATACGTTTTTCTTCTGTGTTTGTTTTTTGGTTTTTGTTCTTTTGCAACATTCACATCTTTTACAGTTTGCGGGGGAGGGGGGAACACCGCCCACGATAAAAGATTTGTTACACCTGGTGTAGCGCTGTTCCCTAATACTGGCATAACACTTCCAGGAGGTTTTTCTTTTATGTTTACAATGTTACTTTTCTGTATGATGTGCATGCAAGTTTACCGTAACTTTTCTTAAACTTTTTAGTGCCGTTTCTAGTATATTCCTGTAAATGTCAGTTACTGAAAATGAGCCCGGCGTAAGTAGTTTTAGCTTGTTTATTGCAATGCTGGCCTCAACACAACAGAATAAAAGTGGTAGAAAGTACTCTTTGATGTTTCTGGTAATCATGGACCCTTCTCCTGGGGCATTTGTTTTGTTTTCATAATAAAAGCAAAAAAAAAAAAAAAGAGGTGCCGTATCCTGTGCTTTCTGGGCTCCCAGCTCTCCCCTTGCTGGCGTGTGACGACGGGGGGAGTCCCTCGTTTTGACATCCCGTAGCTTCTGGCAGGAATACCCAAAGCATCCCAGAGGGTCTTAAAGAGCTCAGTGGCTCTGGTCCAAAGCCTGGGTGGGGTGCCCCTGGGATTTAGGGAGCGGCTTTGTCACCTTTTCAGGTCAGCAGCTCTGTGGATGGGCCGCCCCCCTCCATGACCCACAGGTTCGGTCGCCTCGGTTCCCGCCTGCTCGGTCATCCATCCCCTGTCCCCGCTGTGCCCTCAGTCTGCACTGAGGTGCTTTCCGGGACCAGAGGCATCAAACGCTCGTCCGCTGGCCCAACGGACGTTTCCAGGAAACCACGTCGAGACGTTGTGCGCGCTGAGGTTTCGTCCACAGTGGAGGCGGCAGCAAGGAATGAAGGAGGTATCGAGACAAATGCCAAGTCCTGACGCCGTTTTCAAAACAGTCACAGCTGTTGGAGCCGAGCCTTGCAGTGACGTCCCGGGAGAAGGCTCTGCCCGAGTCCAGGCCCGAGGCCCCCCTCCCCTGTATTCCCTTGCCCCCCGTCACCCAGACTGAGCTCCCCGAGGACGGGGACTGAGCACGTCCGCCGCGGCATCCCCAGCCCCAGCCGGGAGGGCCAGCCGCCCAGGCGTCCCCAGGGCAGACGTGGCCTCCCTGCTCGCTAAGCAGCTTAGTGCCAGCTGTGTGCGAGCGGCCCAGGGCACGTCGGTCACCTGCACACCCGACCAGTGCAGACGGCGGCCGTGGCCCGTGCTTGCTTTCCCGGCCACCGCCTCTGTGCTTTGCGGCTGAGCCAATCACAGCCCGTTTCTAGGTTAGTCTGAGGGGCAGCGAGCATGCAGCACAGAGGCATTCCAGCTAAGTCAGAAGTTTGCCGCCTTCCCAAACTGAACTGAAGTCGAAGGAGCGCAGAGATGCCGACAAGGCCTGTCTACTGGGGAATTCCAGTGTCAGGGCGCCTGGACGGGCGAGCCTCTGCTGCAGAGTCCTTCCTGACTGTGTCGACGAGACAGGCTTCCCTCTTCGCCTCGGGGAGGTGCTTAAGGAAATCTGCCTTCCAGCCTCCCCACCTGAGGCAGTAAGCAAGCCGAGGCTCCCTGCGCAAGGACCAGGCCTCTGGCTGGACACGTGACGTCGGGGGAAAGCAGTCTGACCCAGCAGCTCCCTTCTGGTTGCTGTCTGCTAAGCACGCCTGCACGAGGAGCCACGCAAGGGGAAGCCCAGGACGTGCCGTGTGCATGGACAGCCGGAAGGTCTCTGCCCACCTGTGGGCTCACGGGAGCGCTGCCAGCAGGCCGCTGGAAGCGTGACGTAATCGCCCCGTCTGTACAGCTGAGCAAAACATCACAGAACCAGGCGCTGCGTGGTGCGGGATGCCGCCTCCGGAAGCTCGGCACACGCACGCGCCGAGCTGCTGACGGCCGCTGCCTCTGGGGAGGGCGCTTCATGCGTTTCTGCACTGGGGTTTTTAGCAATCGTTAGATGTTACTGTTGTAAAAAAAAAAAAAAAAAAAACCTGAAAGCCACGTTAGGATATTAGGAGCAAACAGATCAAAATAAGGAGTGAGGAAGGAAGGCGGCTCCTAAAGGAGATTTATTTAGAAAAGAAAACTCAGCTTTGACAAAAGACACTTCCACGTTTACCTCGCCACACAGACCTTAATTACAGCAGACAGCAAATCCTTTAAAAATGACTCATAAAGCTGCCCACACAGGTGGGCCGAGGCTGCTTGTGTGTGATCACGGCCCACGCACATCAAACACTGCAGGTGGCCGGGAGGTGCAGCCTCGGAGTAGAGGCTGAACTGCTGTCCGCTGAGGACCTGCCTATTTCAGCCCTGTGATTAAATTTGAAATCACTGTTAGCAGCTTTTGTGTAACTTAATAATTTGGGGGTTTCCTTAATGTTTTGGGGATGCCTTTGCCCCACAAACCTCCAGCATCAGGAAGCTAGTGTAGGAGCCATCACAGTGCATCACACGCAGTGATCATTTTGGTTACTAGACTCAAAACTCAAGTGCCACAAAGTCCCTGCTGAAATGCTGCTGCCGACGACCGTTTAGGGTGAATCCGTCTTGGTCCCGCACATCGTGGTCCCGCACGTGGATCTGCGACCCGACATGATGCCAATTCCTTCACCTTTTTCTAGATCTGACCCACTCTTTACCAGGCAGAAGGGAAACCTAAAGGACAGCCTGTAAGAATGTGACGAGGTGGGTCTGTAACCGGGGTGTCCCTCCCGCTTGACTTATTCGGAAGCATGACCAAAACAGCATCTAGCCGGGCCCCGGACCTGGCCTGTGCCTACAGCGCCTGCAAGATCAGAATGGAGTCCAGGAGCCCAGTCCACCCATCAGCCCGACTGCGAATGGGCCGGGGCGCCATCTCTGGGATTTTGGGGTTCTTCTACCACAGCTCAACCTTCACGTTCACTGTTCAGGATCTCCCAGTAAGGACTAGGGATCAACAAGGCGGCTGGGTGCCTGGGCTCAGGCTTTCACACCAGAATTACATAACAGAGCAAAACTTGGATTGCCCCGTGTCCCGGGAGACGTCCAGCTTGTTTTTGTCCCGGACGAGGATGGCCTCATTTCCGTACTGTGAGTACCACGTGCTTCGGCTCCTGCTTAGGTACGTCCCGGGCGGCACAGATGCCAACTTCTGCTGCTGCTGTTGCCAGATGAGCAGGGAGGTGTCCCGGTACCGGAGCCGGGCGTAGCCTTCGGACAGGGCTTTCTCTGCCAGCGGGACGCGGCCGCTCATCACTGGCCGGAACCTCCCCTCTCCTGGGCTCCTGCGCAGGAGGCCTCTGAGCCCGTGCTTTGCGCTAAATGCACTAATGAACTGGTATTTCAGCTGCTGGGTTTTGAGGATTCCTTCTTTAACCTACTGGTACAAATGAGAAATTCAGGCCATTTACAGGCAACACCCTTGTGAGGGTTCTCTGCAAGGAAACTTGAGAGGAGCCTCCGAGCATTCTGAAAAGACACTTAAGAACCACACGTGAGTCGGCAAGCAGGTCAGCAGTGCCCTGGCCGCAGCGTTTCCTGGTGACGGCTGTGCACACTGTATTAGGCGTGCAGTTGACAAGGGACGAGGCGCCCACCTCAGGGGGGACTTGTGTCTGCAGCGATTCTGACACCACGACGTGGACCACTAAATTTGCAAAGGTATACCTGGTGTCCCGAATGAAAGGACATTGTACAACTAGACAGACAGGCAGCAGCTCCTGTAACTGCCCGCTCACGATCTGTGCTCGGGTCGGCTTTCAGCACAGCAGAGGCGTTCTGATCCCTGCCAGGGATTTGGAACCAGCATTTGTTCAGTGCTCTTTATCTGGCTAGTCTCCAGCTCCTGTCCAAGGTGATGCTACAAAGAAATGAACATGCTGTCAGGTGTTGGGGAGAAAAGGGCCCCAGCAGAAATGGCAGGTTATATGGCACAGAATCCTCCTTAACTCTTGGCATCTGAGCGTTAAACCAAGCTACCGACCGACACATTCCAGTATTTCATTTGCTCTCTCGTGACGCGGTGAGCCTGGGTTTAAGAGGTAGACCTGTGCCTCACCCTAGTTCTTTTATTAACTAAGGGGACGATCCTGGGGAAGCCACTTGTTGGAGCGTTAGTGTCCAGATCTGCGAAATAAGTCCTAAGAACTTGACGGGGCACAGAAGTGACCTGCCCATGCTGGGGACGCTGGTACTCACCCAGCCACCAGCGCCTTCTTTCTGCTCCAAGCATCAGGGAGGCCCCTGGACCAGAAAGAAAAATGACGTCAGGTGAAAACCAAACGGGAGCATCCACAACACCCCCGCCCATGCTTTCCCAGCCATGCAAGTTCACTTTTCCTTCTGTGTGGCCCGCGCCCCCATCGCCCTGCCGAGTCATCACTGCCGGCTGCCGCTGAGCCCCCAACGCCCGGCCCGGCCCGCAGCCAGGGCGCCCCCAGGGCGCGTCCCCATTGCCTCCCCGGCATCCCGGGTCCCGCCTGGCCCGGCCCGCGCCCAGCGTCCCCCTACCGCCCGCCCCCGTCACCTGACCCGCGCCCCCCGCCCCCGTCGTCGCCGCCCCGGCCGCCCGCGCCGTGGGGCCTCGGCGGATAGCGGGTCGCGGGGCCGGGCGCCTCGGGCGGGGCGGCGCCAGTTGGCTGCGTGTCCGCGTCGCTATGGCAGCGTCGCAGGCATGCCGAGCCGAGCGCCGAGGCCGGCAGGCGGGCGCCACGAGCCGGAGCCATCGATGGCTCTGCGGGGCGGGATCGGGGGCGGGGTCTCCCGCTGGGGGTGGGGCAGCTGCGGGAGCCACGTGACCATTATTGTAGGTCGTAGCATGGTGTAGGTCGTAGCTTTGTGCTGCTGTTTGCGTCTGCTGTTGCTACTGCTATTAGCATTCTTACCCCTAATAACCTATAGCGTTGTTTTTAATAATTTCACGTTGTCCCGGGCGTACGTACTCTCTTAAAACCACGTGTCCCACTAACCCATGTCACCCAGCCGGGCCAGGTCCCCATTCTGCCATGAAAATTAGGTCTGTTTCCTTCCGCACCCACCTCCAAATCTTTTTGCAATAATACTCTCGTTTGGTATCTGTCCCTTTCCTTACTGAACTTTCATTTTTACGGTTTCCCCTAACGCTAATTCAGGAAGTCGACATAAGAGACATTCAAGCACACTGAACCCACCACTGTAGAATGCACATTCTTTACAAGGACACAGAACATCTCCAAAAGTTGACCACATGCCGGTCCCTGAATCAGTTTCGATACATTTCAAAGCACTTAAATCCTAGGCGAAAAGGGTCACAGGAAACATAGTCTATAAAACAACAATAAAAAGATACTAGAAGAAAACCCCTATATATGATTACTTTAAAATATATTCTCGAGCCCACCCAGGGATACCAAAAAAAAAAAAAATTCTAAATTCCTCATGGGTCAAAGAGAAATTCACAGTACAAATTTTAAACTATTTTAATTGAATGATGATAAAAATACAATATATCAAAACTTGTGAGATGCAGTTAAAAATCATGCCTGGAGGGAAGTTTATGGTCTTAAATGCATATACAAGAAAATATACACGTGTATGGTGTGTTTGTGGGCTATATGGAAACTCTCAGTATTGTCTTTGCAATTTTTCTGTAAATCTAAAACTGTCCTAAATTAAAATGTAAAAGCTTATTTTTAAAATGAGTGAAAAAGAAAGTCACAAAGGTGAGAAGAAACTGGCAATATGTATAGTTGATGAGGGACTTAGGGTCCCTGGAAGACAGAAATCACACCAATGATTTGACCAGAAAGAGATTAATAGAAGGGATTGTTCATTAGGTACAAAGTTGTTAACTAGGTAACTTTCAAGTTAAAATAAAGACCTCTAGAAGTATCTCAGAGGTGGTAACCGCAGGAAGCAGAAGGACCAGAGAGAGGAGGGTGGAATTGTGAACATTTAGAAACTCAGAGGAGGGACACCAAAGAGCTGAAACTCAGACTTTTGAGGAGGGGTTGCTGGCAGCTGGAGCTGGTGTCTCTGCACCAAGAATAGGGTCCCCGTAGGGCAGGGACCCAGACCCCAAGGACGGGGGGGTCCCAAATAGAGGAAATACAAAGTCCCACCAGTCGAGGGCTCCTTTTCTGGGTTAGGTTAATTACCTTTCCTATCAGTCTCCTTCTGTCTGAATATTCTTTTACCTGAAACTAAATTGCAAAGTTAACTTCCAACAAAACTGTACTGAAAGTCATAAGGGAAGTGAGGAAATAAAAGAAGAGCTAGATACAAATACATACGTACTTAACAGGCAGGGGGCAATATGGAGAGTTGTTACCGTCCTTGTTTCTGTAACAGTCAGATGGGGTTTCCTTTGCCTTCAGCAAGATCTCAGCTGGTCGAGGTTTCTTTAGCTAGTGGGGTGACTTATACCTTCATTCCTGAAGGGCACAAACCCTCAATTATCCTGCTATCTATCTATCTATCTATCTATCTGTCTGTCTGTCTGTCTGTCTATCTATCCAATCCATCTATCCATCCATCCATCTATCTAACCATCTATCTATCTATCTATCTATCAATCCATCCATCCATCTATCTATCTAACCATACATCCGTCTGTCTGTCCGTCCTTCCATCCATCCATCCATCCATCCATCCATCCATCCATCCATCCATCATCTTTGGTGGCTGCAGCTTTCCATGAGCTTTGCTCTTGGTGGTAGAAATACTAAAATGTACCAGGGAGAATCCCCTGGGTTCTAAACATAGTTCTTCCTGCCCTCAACCTCAACGTGAAGCAACAACTCACTTTCTCCGTCACCCCAGTTGGTAAGGTAACCCACTTCTCAGTGTTTTGATTCAGTGGTATCAGGAGCCCCTGATTTCCAAGTGGCAGTCTCATCTTCCAAATCAAAGAAGCCATTGATGTGCTCCCTGGTGAGCCCATTCCTCTCTCTAGAACCAAGCCTTCCAAGTCATCAGAAGCTCAAAGACGTGGGGCAGAATTAAAACTGACGTGAGGCATCATTGGAGGGCCTCTCCCACCTCCACCCTTTGGTTCCCGGGCGCCTGTGGTGTGGCTTTGGGGAAGATAGCACCGTATATTTTTCTATGGTTCAAAGCATACACGGTGAAGTTCCCAATGGGTGCTTCACCCGCGTCCTCAGGAGGCCACTCTGCTCTCTGCTAGGGGGGCGCTCTGGGTGATGGGCGCATATAAAGCCAGTGGCTTCCACGAGCAAGGGCCTATAGTTTCCCTCCTTTTTCTCAGCAACGAGGTCCCTGCGCAGAATACTGCTGTGGGAATGGTGTGATGGTCAGCGAGTCCCTCCCTAAGTCTGTGCATGGGGGTGCTGGCAGGAAAAGCAAGTCCAGAATCCGTGTCTATTCCAGCAAGACTGCACCTCTGTCCCCTCCATGATGGATGAGTCCACGTAATAAATGTGCCACCACTTGGCTGGCTGGATCCCTGGGTAATGATGCCATACTGGGGGCTCAGCGTTGGCTTGCAGTGGTGGTGGGCAGGGCGGCTTCGGTGGTGGAGCTTGCATTGTCATCCACGTGGCGCCTCCATCCCTCCCTCCAAGATCACTTTGCACACGGGCGCATCAAATAAGCAATGCACCGGCTCGATGAAGAGGCCGAAGACCTCCACAGAATGGTCCTTGTTTCCAGCTGATATTTCCAGTCTCCTCTGCACTGGACGGGCCTTGGAGACATCTGTCCACCTGGGATACAGATATTGTCACAGTCTGCGTCCTTTCTAAGAAGTCCATCTGGTGCCTCTTCCCCAGAGCTCGCTGTCACCCAGCTCCCAATCCTTTTCTTTCCAAGCCCTTAACCATCCAGCCAAACCAGTAGCAACTACTTGAGAATCACTGTAGATCTATGCAATGGGAGACGATTCAGTAATTTAAAAGAAAATGAAGTACTGATACATGTTTCAATATGGATGAATCTTGCAAACATTATGCAAGGTGAAAGGAGCCAGTTACCAAAGACCATAGTATGACTCCACTGATAGAAAATGTCCAGGACAGGGAAACCTGTAGAGACAGAAAGTAGGTTAGTGGTTGCCTACGGCTGGGTTAGAGATTGGGAGAGAATGGAGGGTAACAGCTGCTAGGTATGGGGTTGCTTTTTTTTTTTTTGCCATTTCCATTTTTATTTTTGGCTGTGTTGGGTCTGCATTGCGGTGCGTGGGCTTCTCAATGAGGTGGCTTCTCTCTTTGCAGAGCACGGACTCTAGGCGCTCAGGCTTCAGTAGTTGTGGCGCATGAGCTCTAGAGTGCAGGCTCAGTAGTTGTGGCACGAGGGCTTCGTTGCTCTGCAGAATGTGGGATCTTCCCGGACCAGGGATCGAACCCGTGTCCCCTGCATTGGCAGGCAGATTCTTAAGCACTGTGCCACCAGGGAAGTCCCTGGGGTTGCTTTTAAAGAGGCTAAAATGTTCTAAAATTAGATTGGGTGATGGTCGCATGATCATCTGACCATACTAAAAACCCCTGAATTGTACACCTTCAGTGGGTGAATTGTATAGTACGTGAGCTCTATCACAATAAGCTGCTTTTAAAAGAAGAATCATAACTTTCTCAAGACGTCAGCAAAAATGGTGGAATAGGAAATCCAGATTCTGCCCCTTCACAAAGGAAAGGAAAAAATAGGCAAAAATTGTCACAATAAACTTTTTTGCAACTGGGGAAATTAACGAAAGGCTTGCAGGAACCCAGGAACACTTCTTCTTTTCTTTTAAGACTGATTTTTGGTACAAACAGCAAACTTTGTGGTGTTTTCCTTTATCCTACCCCTGATTTCCCACAAAGATTTTAAGAGCATCGCACTAGCTGTCAGCCCTGCCAGCTTGGTCTGTGCGGGCGGAGAAAGTACGAAACAAGAAGTCTTGACCCCCAAGCTCCTAGGCAGGAGTCACACTCGACAACAAACACAAGCCTCAAACAGGAGATGTTCAGCGACAGACACAGCTACAGTCATGGGAGGAAAGGAATAACTCAGAGGCTGGAGCCAAGACCTGCGAGGAACCATCCCTTGAGCCTCAAGGAAGTGGTAAAATGCCCAGGGGCTTCCCCTGGTGGCGCAGTGGTTAAGAGTCCGCCTGCCAATGCAGAGGACACGGGTTTGAGCCCTGGGCCGGGAAGATCCCACATGCCGTGGAGCAACTAAGCCCGTGCGCCACAACTACTGAGCCTGTGCTCTAGAGCCCGCGAGCCACAACTACTGAGCCCACGTGCCACAACTACTGAAACCCACGCGCCTAGAGCCCGTGCTCCACAACAAGAGAAGCCACTGCAATGAGAAGCCCGCACGGTGCAAAGAAGAGTAGCCCCTGCTCACCGCAACTAGAGAAAAGCCCACGCGCAGCAACGAAGACCCAATACACCCAAAAATAAACAAACAAACAAATAAATAAAGAATGCCCAGAAATTTAGAAAGGTTATGGACTTGGGGCTGTGGTTTGTGTCCCCAC